CAATCTGCTTCTTTTTGCCAATAGGCTTCCAGTACCCACATCCAGCAGCTCTCCTGCTGTTGATGCCAACATTCTTATTCATATTTTCATTGTAAAAGAAATACCTTTTTTCCCTAACATCACCTGCACAACCCAATAACGATGAACCAATTAGCTAGCTAGCCTTGCTTTATAATTTGAATAAAACTCCGATATTAAAAGAAAAGTGATTTCCACACACTTCCAATGATTTATGCTCATCCATGCTCTTTTATATCATTTAAACATGAATAAACTAAAGGATGAAGTCTGCAGAGAGAAAAACAAGATCAGTAATAAAAAAAAGCATGAACAAAACTAACCTGGCAAGCCCCAGGGATGAGTTTCGAAGACATCGAACTCTGGAATGATGGAAGCAGGCAATGGGGCGGCATGAACCTTCCTCATCAAGTAGTGAATCACCAGCTCCTCATCCGTGGGACGAAACCGGTACCCAACTGGCATCTTCACTCCTCCATTTATAACATAGTTTTCTCTAATATTTTCCATCTCTCTATCTATATATATGATGGATTAATTAATCTAATATCTGATGAACGATTCAGCTTGGTTTAGCTTAATTGAAGCAGAAGCAATTAGTTGTGTGGGAGAGGAGGAACATATGTTAGTGTTGGGCAACTGCAACAACAAGAGAGAGAGGGAGAGAGCTAGGAAATTAATGGCATGTGTGGACGTTGATTCAAAAGTTAAAGGCAAAAGGAGAAGAGTTGGGCGGCAGCTGGCAAGCCTGCCGGTTGTGTGCTTGCAGTTGCAGATTCGAGAGTGAGGAAATCAACACATATATATAGATACATAGACAGACCTAGAGGTGTCGTTTTAATAAATAGAGAGGGGTAGTGGCTGCAGTGCAGTGCCAGGAAACTCTTGACTCGTAGTCTCACTCGGAAGCTCTTCTCCTTCCTTGACTCGGGAAAGGATTGGGTTGCTGCTTTATTTTGACGGGTCTTTGTGTCCACAACCGTGTGAGGACTAATTACCTTGCTTTTGGTCAATAAGCATGCTTTTCTTCCTAGTTACTGAAAAGTTAAAACACTGTTAGCTAAGCCCCGCGTGTGACACGTTGTGTGCTGAATCTGACATGTATGGGGGACTTTTTCCTGAGATCAGTATCCTGAGCCTACTGAGCAATTCATGTAGACCGTTGGATTTTTTATCCAACGGCTACAAATAAAAGACATTTCTAAAGTTATAATAATTATAACCGTTTGATCAAAATCCAACGGTATATGTTATTTGCTCAGTAAGCTCAGGATCCTGAGACGATCCAAATCCCTTATTTTTATAATTTTTTATAATTTATATGTTGTTTTGGTCTCGTTCACCAGTCACCTACTTAAATACGAACTCTCTTGTTCTAACCTAGCTAATTATATTCCTTGACTTTCCTACTTTGTGGTTGTTGTCCTTACTCTCCTTGTGGCTACAGAAAATCTATATGAACTGTACATTTCGCAAATATATTTGATTAACCTTATATTTTCATGATTTCTTGCAAAGTACGTTTCTAGTAATTATTGATTTAAAGAATTGGAGGTGTATATATTAGAAGATTTGACAGCATTATATATAACATCATTTCCATCAAGATATAAACTATAATCAGTTTAGGTTTTGAGGAAATAGTTTTGTTTTAACCAGATTGCTACCTAACATATATGGGAAATTAAGAGCCATTTTTACGCATTCCAAATTTTACCTCTTACGCATCGTTTTAATTTTTAATATTTGTTTGCTTTTATTCAATACTTACTTGTAAGGTAAAGACAAAAGGATGGAAGAGCATATAAATATTAAAAAAAATTTAAAATATGTGAAAAGTAAAATAAGGTACGTAAAAATTACTATCCAATTAAAACCGAGCCCCTATCAGTTTTGCATCTCAAATTGGCAAATTGCATCTGGAATAGTGATTTCTATGGTGAATAGTGTTTTTGGAGTTTTGGACCTTTTAGGAAAATCAAACTCATAGCGACCATCTGGGATGAATTTTGGGTTGAGGGATGAGATAAGGAGAAACATTAAGAAGACTTTTTAAAAAGTGTGATTATCTGTTACTTCACAGTTTAATATTAATTTTCATGCTACATTATAAAATATTATAGTAAAAATATAAGAGGATAAGAATCCATAAAAAATCACACTTTTAAAAATCTCCTTTAACATTTTTCTAAAAAGTTTTCAAACACAACTACACGATTCATCAGAGATAACAAATGGCCTCGAAGTTGAAAGTTTGAAGAACACCACACCCTAAATATGTATTAGGGAGATGCGTGTGTTTGGTTAAAACACTAGTTGAAGAAAACATATTATTAAAGGACCCGGCTTCTCCATTCTCCCAGTTCGTATATACTCTTATCTTTTTTATTTTATGCGGTCACAGTTAAGCCACATCAATATTTTATATTAATTTGTTTATAAAGATAATAAAATAAAAAATAATAATAATGTTAAATATTAACATAATTTAATCATAACCGCACAAATAAAAAATGATGAGAATGTATAGAGAATGGAAGAGCATAAGCCACATTATTAAATGTGCTCCACCTTGTGCCTTGCAGTGTGGTCTTGTCTCGAAAATTGACGTACACATTGTGCTGCAGTGAGATTCGTTATCATGTGGATGCGGAGATGCCCATTAATTACTACCCTTGTCAATTAAACTTTGGATTAATTAATTCATTTTCTTCTTTCAAGAACCTAATCCCAGCTGTTTGCGTATAACTCTAGGACTTAACAGTTGGAAGCGATCCATCTAAAAAAGGCAATTTATACAGTAAAATTGATGCCTAAATAGTAGAAGGATTCTTGTCTGCAATTTTGTGGTTCATGGAATTGGATCCTCTTCTGAGCACAAGCTTAGGATTCTTCTGATCAGCACACGTAAATCGTTAGATTTTGATTTAAAGTTTACAAACAGGAAATCTTTTTAAAAGTTATAATAATTATAACCGTTGAATCAAAATTCAACTACTCACGTGGCCTGGTCAGGAGAATCCTGAGCTTGTGCTCAGGAAAGGATCCAATTCCGTGGTTCATTTCAATAATTGTCACATATTTTTTGTTTTTTTTTTTTCGATCAGTCGGATTAAATGAATAGTTTTTTTTTATTGTTGGATTAAATAAATAGAAAAATAACAAATGATATAATTTAACAAGAAATATGTGAGAAGTATCAAAATTTGTAAATAGCGCATCCCATTCATCATCCATACAACTTGAGAAGGGCATTTCCCACTTCAATAATATTTCTTTGGAGAATATGCTCCTTCCAACAAAATAAATTAAATAATGTACGCATGTATAAAACCTCAAGTTTAAGATTGGGCTAAAGGCACGTCACAAAGCCCAGAGTATGATTGGGATGCAACAGTTTAGATCAATTCTAACAAAGAAAACCCAGGTTCATTTATGTTAATTCACTCATGCAATTAGAGGATTTGCCACAATATTTACATGTATTTAGTAAAATTATCATCTGACGATCATATATAATTCTTATGAATATATGTTGTTAATACAATAACCACCTAACCGTTGTGATGGTGATTGTATTATGTGGTAGCAAAAATCCGTTGTCTTCAATCTTGATGAATTTGTACCACAAAACAATCAACACCTCTAATAAAAAAACCGAAGACGCACTCACCCGCGAGGTGGGGGAGGAGAGGAGGTTTGGCCAATGAATCTTTGATGCCTAAGTTAGTTTATCTTAAAGGAATGATTGTTTGGGGCTTGTATGCGTAGCAAAAAAAAAACACCAAGATTCGGTACATAAAGAGGTATTTATAGGAGGAGGTGACCGACCATAGTGTTAGGAAGTAGCCCTACACATGATGACATCCTATTGGAACCAAATCATTTGGTTTTGGTTTTGTTCAGTTTCAAAGGGTTTTGGTTTCGATAGGCACTGATTTGGTTTTGGTTTCATGCAATTCAACAAAAAAAATGTTGGTGTTTCAATTTAAGTCACTACTTTAAAATTTTGATCATTCAACCCTTTCTTGTTCCCTTTCCTTTTGGAGACTTAATCTTCGAAGGTTTATGAGGCCTTTGAGCTTATGAATGAGCTTGAGAATGCAATACTTAGGAAGACTTTGGACTTTGTGAAAGTAAAACCAATGGATGAGAAACCATTAAACCTTGTGAATTATAAGCTTGAGATTGCCTTGGAGCTTCTTGTTGTGATTGTAGATTAAAAATAAAAGAGGCAATGCTTAAATTCGAATTGGTCAACACCACACAACACAAAAACATAAACACATAAATTACATTAGTTGTTATAAACTTTAAAAAGCCTAATTTTTTTTTTTTTTTTTGTATTGCAATTTGGTTCGGTATTAGATATTAAGAACCAAAACCAAACCCTTTTTCTTAACTTACAATTCGGTTTCAAAACCTTAAAAACTGAACTGCTCGATTCGGTTTGGTCCGGTCCGTGTTTGAGTATCAATTTTTGGTTTGAAAACCTTGAGAATATAGATGTTGCATTGTGTGAGTTGCATTTTGTGGGAAGGTTCAAAAGTTTTGAATCAAAATCAATAAGAATTCAATGGTGCTTATAGAAGATATCAAAGATCAGCCAAATCATTAATGTTTTAAATTCAGTGGTTTTATTTTTATATTCGACAAGATTCGTTCATTGAATCATTTATACATCAAATATTTAATGACGAAATTAATATCTACTAAATTATCACGCATCAACCGAACAAATATATATTTTGTATTGACGAAGATAGATATAACCGTTAATCAATAAGATATCTGTTACTCAAAATGGGTATGGCTAACAATCCCCGATAGTTAATTTGTGGTTATGAATACAGTTGATTTTCGTAATTATGGGAATGGATGTAGCATTTTCGCATCCAACCCGAAGCGTTGCTATCCTTTTAACTTCTAAACTAGAGTAGTGAGAGCTAGACAGATTAAGAGACAGAGAAGAGAGTAGAAGATGAAAACAAACTGCTGATGCTCAACTAATTAACATAAAACTTTCTGTTCTGAGATACATATGGAGGAGCGCACAACTTATGTGTATAGTATTTGTGACCCTCAAGGAACTAAATTATATGTACAACAATACTGCATATATCCTGATGCGACAACCTCCACAACCTGAATGATGAGTATGCATATGCTTATGCCCCCTACTTTAATTTTACAAAGGAGAAAACAAAATCTTGAAAACAATCTCAAAGCTGTATCAACTCCGGAATCAGCTTCAATAGAAAAGAAAGCTCCCTCTCTGAGAACTCCGGCTTTGATTTCACCTGCATCGGCCCGCCTTCTTCCAACAAACGCTTCTCCCCGTCTTCCTCCGCCCCACCTAATGGCTTAATCATATCCGACACTGCCTCCGTGATCTCTTTCACAAAATCCACTATCACTCCCTCGATCCCCATTAGGTATTGCATGTAAACTGCTTCCGGCACATTGCTGCAATTTCATCATAAATTCCATGATCAATTTACATTCCTTCATAATTTTTGAAATTAAACTCTTTATCTCAAATTCATTAGGCAAACAGAATTCCGCAAGCTTACTTCAATTTGCCGTAAGTTAGGAGTGAAAGCTTGGCCTCTTTGATCTTGGTTACCGCCGCGGGATTTCTGAACACGCCTTTAACCTCCGACACAATACCGTGTAAACCACCCTCGAAACACAGCTTTATCGCCTCCTCCAAAGAATTCCTTCGCACATCATAGTAAAGCTCAGTCCCACCATTTGTTAAGAAAAAGACCTGCCATCATCAATTCATTCAGCACAATAATTAGTAACTCGTTACATTTAACATTGATCGCATTCAAAAGCAAATTATACATGACAAAAGTGCTTACAGGGTAGGTGTTCTGCAACTTTTTAACCAACAGGGCGGCATCAGGTTGGAAGCTTGAGAAAATGATCGGCCTATCTCTGCCACACTCAAACACCACCTGTTCCACAAAATTATATCCCAGATGAGCACAAGCATTATCGAAACAAACAATTAGGCCTCGTTTGGCACCTCGGATTTAAACTTGGATACAAATATAGAAACACAATGATCGATGGACGTACTTGCAAGACGGACTGAAGGACGCGGAAGAGATAGTCGTCCTGGTAAACAATGTTATCATCGAATTTCAGCTCGATGTTGAAGCCGAGAGATGGATCGACCTGCTCAAATGCCTCTTGGAGCGTGCAGAGAGGGTCATCATTTTCGACATCCCATTTTACTATTTTACCATCTTTGGTTTTCCTCAACAATGTCTTTCCTTCCTTCCCTGGCTCTCTTTGCGGACCATAATTTAGGAATTCGGACAGACTCAGTTCGTTAATTCTCCTCTGAAACACAGTCCCCTGATGAGACCAAAATTTAACTTGTAAGTTGAAAATTAATTACTAGATGATCATAAAACGAAGAGTAAAAAGCAAATGGAGGGTGGAGAAATTAGGCTTACATTTTCTTCGGAGAGGATGAAATCGTCGTGAAAATGACCGGACAGTCATCTTTGGTTACCTACAAAAAGCCACCATCACTTTCCTGTTTCAGTTTTTTTTTATCCTTACTTTTTTCTCTTTTTTTTTCTTCTTCATCCACCTCCATTCTTTTTAATCCAATTTCCAAAGATTAAGGAAGAAAAAAATGCAGAAAAGGAGATAATCAGTAACATTTCAAACTCAAGACGAGTTTCCGGAAACAGAAAAACAAAAGACTTGATCTTGATTTAGTAGCTCGTTAAACCCCATCTAGGAAATTCACCAAAAATAGAAAAATAGCCGAAATTACAGAAATACCCTAAAACCCAGAACCGGATTTCACTACAGATCGACCCAAAAAAATCAAACTTCTTTCTCATGCAGATGCCGACAAAAAATCCGCGTACGCGGCGACAAAAAAATGCAGGTCGGGTTCAAAGTTTCGGCAAATTCACTAAAATAAAAAATGATATACCCAAAAAGCACCCCCACATTGGGACCGTTGGTTTGATTGAACTGAGAAAATAGATTACAAGAGATTAAGGCCTCACCTGAACATCGAATTCGACGAAATCGATAGGGAATCTGGCGGCGGCGTTGAAGGACATGATGGAGTTCTCTTTAATGGCTCTCATTCTCCGATCGGACGACTGTAGCGCGTTCATTCCGTTCCCTCTGTGTCCGATCACTAGAAACCTGGGTATCCTCGGTGCAGCCCGATTCATCTCCGCACCTATAACCACAATATTATTCAAATTAACAACCTTCTTAATTTAATGAGAAGTTGATAAACAATTAGAGGACTAATTAATCAAAGATTATACCTTTGGCGAAGCGGGAGGAATAGAGCGCCATAGAAGCATTTTCCGGCACCTGATCGAGATTCGGGACGTCGGAGACGTGGACGGCCTTGAGAGCCATAATGTTTATGATTAAACAAAAAGACAAGGGAGACGAGAGAGGATGCTGGGAAGCGAAAGAGTTGTGTAATACGTTGATGGAAGGACGAGTGTGGGAAGGAGGAGGAGGAGGTATTTATTTTGGAGGAGGAAAGGCGGAGGAATCCTGCTCCCACTGTGGAGGGGTTTTGTCCGCAGCATATTCCCCCTCTCATCTTCTCATATGCTCTGGATATTCCATTATTCCTACCCCCTTTTCACCAAATATCCCGCGCGCTATTGGTTTTTTTTTTTTAATTCCCTTAATTCAACCAGCGTATTTTCACGTTGGTCAACCGTCAACAGTTCTAATTTTCTGTGTAGAAAAAAAAAGCTTTAACAAAAAAATTCTGATATTATTTATTTTAATAGAAAATTATATTTTTATACTAAAATATTAATTATGGTACTATTTATTTTGTTCTTATCATTAAAATTCAACGTTTTCAAATTATTTTTATTAATTTTCTTTAGAAAAGAAAAAAATATTACAATGTTGGTGCAAGGACCTAATTTCCACGTGTCATTTGTTTGATTTTTCACCTTCTGGAAATCAGGGGAGTCTGGAAGATGACGCGAATACGAAACTAATATTGTTTTGTCAAAAAAATAAAAAAAAACTAATATTGTTATTTTCTACGGTCAGGACAGAAATAAAATTTGATTTTTGTTTTACGAAATGAAAATATAAAAGCATAGAGCGCCAAGAGATAAGCTCCGCCGCTTAGGGTAGCGAGAGCCTGGTGCGAAAGTGTCCGGTCTCTGACGCCGCTAGGTGCGAAGGTATGATTGTATTATGCATGCTTCCACGTCTTCGCATTAGAGCTCCCATGTACGTTGCCATGGTTTCTGTTTGCTTTTTCTCAACTGACGGCACGCTAACGTCAAAGCCTTATTGTATTGGATTCATCTAAATTACAATCTTCTTCTAGGCGATAGGAGTCGTACATTACATTGAACAATTTACAACTTATAATTGCACGATTCTGTTCCTAATTACATCCAATTTTTGTAAGAAAAAACTCAACTATTGTTGAGTCAGCTAGAAATTAAGTTGAAAAACGATATCGATATTGAACCATTGACAAAATCAGTATTAATCTCTCAATGATAAGGGTGAAGATGCATGATGTGTAGCCCTCGTATTGTAAGATAAACCTAATAAGAACGAGCCCAATAATACAGCTTCCCCAACCAACAACATACATGCAATCTCATCTCAACAGGTGGTGCCAGCAACCATCCACATTTGTTCATAGTCTTCTGTAAAACGGGACTAACTAAGAATGCGTTCAGTATCTCCAATCAATCCACATTATAGACGTCACCATTTAGGTTTGCGTTCAACATTTCCAAAATTTGCCAGGCCATCTAGCTTTTCTCAAACTATGCCCCTCTCTCCTACCTTGACGTTTCATACTTATGATACAATTTTCTTGACCTGTTATTCTATTATTAGAATGAAACGTTATAATGACGGTGTATATGTGCCGTGTAAGTTATTCTTTATTATATATCAGTGCAGGTCCTGAGAGGGTGCATTAGGTGCCAACGCACAGGGCCCCCAAATCGGAAGGGCCCCTAATTTTTTAAATTTGCATGCATTTACGTATATACGGTAGTATGTATAGAATATTACAAACTTGAATCTTAGCGCAAGTGGTATTATTGCTTCTTTATAGTGGCTTAGGAAATGGGTTTGAAACTCGGCTCCATCGTCTTTTCAGTTTATTTTTATTAATGTACAAACTTCCACAAAATAATATAAAAATTTCACACAATAACATGAAAATTCGAACCTGACCCTCTAAATAGTTAAGAAAAAACAATACGCCACCTTTCCACATGTTGATTTGTTAAATTTGTTTGTGGCTATTAGAATTTATAGAAGTTCAATTGAAAACTAAAATTATTTTTTTGAACAAAAAAAATAAAATTCATAGTATTTTTTAGGACATTCAATTCACTTTCGCACAGAACCCTGGTATATACACACACATAAGCATGTGTGTGCGCCCGTCTTTACCGAATATACATGCATACAGATTACAAATAAAGGGGGAAATGAAAGGAGTAGAAAAGAGGTAGTTTGATAATGAAGTTTGAGGGCCTAATCAACCCATTAATAATTAGCGGACACCATCACAAGTTTACTATGGAGTTGGATGGTGACTAAGGCAAAGCGAATCTGGTGCCATTTGTCATCAGAAGTTACAGTGGCCATTGGGAGCGATTGACGAAGCCAATTTCTTTCTTTCTTTCTCCCATCTCACATGATCGTACTTTATTTTTCTGCAGAAATCTATCCTTTGATTTGTCTTGTTTCGGATTTTAATTAATTAGGTTATGGAATTCCAATGTGGCACTACCTCTCTCATATTGCATGCTTAAATTATTACCGCATTTTCTTCCACTTTAACGAGTCAGATTCCATCATCATGCATGTCGGAGAAACGTGCTTGAGAAAGGAACTGGATCCTCTCTTTGGTTTAGAATGGGGATTCTTTAGATCAGCTCATCTGGATCGTTGAAATTTGATCCAACGGTTCTAAACAGGGAATCCCTCTAAAAGTTACAATAATTGCAGTCATTGGATCAAGTTTGAATGTCCCGGATGAGATGCTTATGGGGATCCCCATCCCGAGCTCAAGAGAGGATCCAATTGCCTTGAGAAATACCAGCTTCTAGCTAGCTCGCACTTTTTCCTATATAAAAAAAAGCGCATCGTAATATGATCCGTGATCATTTCACAACTTTTATTTCACTCACAAACATAAGTATTACAATATACTGATATTCTCTTCATTTGTAAGTTAAAGATATTAGCTTTGATTATCGTTAAAGACGAATTTGAACCACATTATTACTAACTTATTGTGAAGCTTAGCTCACTTCCCCTAATAAAGATACTATCGTTTTGTTAAAAAATAATAATTGTCACTTTGATTATTTAAGAGAATAATGCATTCCTTTTATAATGTTCTTCATATTTAAGGTGTCATTCTTTCCTTTATAAATATGGTTGACATATATACATAAACATCTAATTAAAATTACAAAATAAAATAATTAGGAGTTGGAATACATGTAGAGACCTATTCCTCCAAGAGGAATGGCGCCAAATTTTGTCCCAATTCAATAATGCAGTATGTGAAGAAAAATTTATACATAACATTGTATTATGGGAATTGTTATTAGCATTTCAAAAACCTCGTTTTACACTTCAAACTTTCTATATTAGAAAAGAAAAATACACTTATAAGAATGTAGAATGAGATTTTTAAAGTACCAATAACCATTCCTTGTATTATTTGTTTGCAAAACTAATAACGATAAATATGTTCCATTCAAGTCCTTCTCCATACATGTTCTAATAGTAGAAGGCGTTTCCTCATGCTTTCATTGGGCTTTTCTTTGGGTCGAATTGGAGCTGTAGAATAGCCTAGCCCAGCTAAACCTTGTGCTGTGTTCTCAGCTTATTGGGCTCACTAGATTCAGAAAATCCAAAGACCGAAAGGAAACCGATTGAATCTGTTAACAAACTACCCAGCTCCAATCGACGACGTTAGTACGTACTAGGATCTCTTGATGTAATTTTCTCATTTCGTTTTTCTTGTTCGGTGCCCTATAAGCTTTTAAAATATTATTTGAAAATGCTGGAGCTTTTCCAAAACTCGGAAATCACTTGTACTATCTTTGGACCAGGAAAATAAATTTGAAATTTAAATAAAAATCAAGATTTATAAATTGACATGTATTAGTTTTTTGTTTGGATTTATAAACATAGGAATTTATAATTTCCTCGTGAAAAAAAATTTAGAATTTGGGACCTCCAATTCCTATGTTTAAATTCTATGTAAATAAGTGTTATTTCCCAATTTTTATGATTGAAAGCTTAAAAATAACAAATTTTGTATTCAATTATATTGTTATTTTAGGTTAACCCAACAAGAAAATTCACAAATTCTAAAAAATAAAATCTCGTCAATTCAATTTCCGTATTTTTAAAATTCCTTGATAGTCATTTTAACTTATTTTTCATGTTCTCATTAAAAGATTTTCCAAACCTTAGAAATCACTGGAAACCTAAGGCGTTTGGTATTGGATTTGCGCAAGTTTTAACTCAAACCATTTTTAAGTTTTAAAAAAAAAACCCGTTTTGGAAGCCTATCAAACTAGATCAAAAAATTTAAGAATAGCCCAATATGAATTAAAACAACAAAAGTCTAGATTCTTTTTTCAGATTCGATCACAAGATCTGAGTTACTCGTGAACAAGCCTCCGCTCTACAAGAGACAGTGGGTGATTGTTTAAGCTTGAATCTTAGTGGTTTATTGGATAGACTAATTCTCTTCGTAGAACAACAATATGGTCTTTTCTTACTATTTGTTTTGTCTCGGAAAAAAAAATGATCAAAATGTTGGATTTATGTGTTGGGTTGTGAGAAATTGAGTTTATCCGTCTAATTGTTGCGATTCATTTATGTACTGTATATATATTCCGAGCAGCGGAGCAGAGGCAGTGTGGCATTGCAAATCGCAATCCAAACTGATCGATTTCGGTTCCAGGAAGAACAAATACAAGCGTTTGTTCACAAGGACATCAAATCGGACTTGGTCGTTTTCGTTCTCGATGGAGAGCGTTCTGGACAAGCCTTATTAGCTCAAGAATCCGATCATCGAACAAGGTCCTCCTCCTCATCTTCTCTGTTCTTTGATATATATATATATATATATTAAAAAAAAAAAAACCATGCTTTAATGCTTTGATTGTTCATCACTCACATTTTACGTAGTTAGTTTCAGAAAAGGATTGGGAACCACCATCTGGTTGTGATTAATTTACATGAAAAGTGTATTAAAAAATCCATTCTTTGTTAGTCTGATGGTCATAATTTGTTATCCGTTTTTCCATTCAAACTCAACTTTTGAGGAGTTTTTGGAAGTGGGGTTTGTTTATAAGATGGCTACGAGCTTGAAAATCATCTTTTTAGGCTGGATTTTTGCTATCTTGAATTGATAGAT